TACGTGTGCAATCGTACTGTGTCCAATTGTACCGTGGTCAAACGGAATACGCCCAGTTGTAGGCCGTAATAGTAAGAAATTGACCAATCACAGACTAAGTACAGAAGAATAATCGATTGTGATTTGTCAATTTCTTACTGTTACGGCCTACAACTCTCTATTGTAGACGGCTCTTAATGCGGCGTAGAATCAAATTTAAATCGATGGAAACGCGTCAAATTGTGCTTATTTCACTTCCACTCGATCTATAAGTGGGTACACTTTGGGTGCGTTCAGACAACTCAACAGTTGCACAACGGTTGAGAGATAATCACTTCTGATTGGATCATACTTTTGGAACCGCAGCAGATTTTGAAGAATAGTTCTATCATAAGTGATGATCTCTCAATCGTTGAGTTGTCTGAACGCACCTTCTCTCTCGAGCTCGTGTAAAAAGTGTTGAAAAAAATACACTAAAGTGTAGCTACACTTACAACGAATTCGATTGGATGCACTAGTGCGCAATGAGTGCGTTTTCTTTCAGTGTGTAGTAAAATACTAACACTGAAATATTTTACTACACATTGGTCTAGTTTCCACCGAAACTCTCAATTCGGTTTCACTCCGGTACGGATTAAATTAAGTGTTCCGTTTCCATTGGAAGTAGAGTACTTAGGGCGACGTCCCATTGAGCGGAAATCTATAGCGGAACGGAATGTGCGGAACCAGCTCGATCAATCATAGCCATTCCGTTTTCTTTCCTTCGCTTTTTCTGTGGTTACGATTGGTCGAGCTGGTTCCGCACATTCCGTTCCGCTATAGATTTCCGCTCAATGGGACATCGCCCTTATAGATCGAAGCGAAAGCGAAATCAGCGCAATTTGACAGGTTTCCATCGACTTAAATTTGATTCTACGTCGCATTAGGTGTGAATTAATGCTTCGGTGGAAACCAGACCATTGAAAGAAGACGCACTCAGTGCGCACTAATGCATCCAATTGAATTCGTCGTTATATATAAGGTGCTTTCCAGCTACGTACACAGGCGACATCAGGGTTGGGCACGTATTAAGTTTTATCAGAGGCTGCTTTTCTTTTAGGAGACACAAACCTAGTTTCCACCGAAGCGTTAATTCCATAGACTTATATAATAGGCGGAACATTCGTGTAAGAGGAGCTGAAGCTTTGTTAAAAGAGACAGAAATAGTCGTGGAGTAGTTCTCTTCTTTTCTAGCAGTGAGTTGATTGGTGGCCGCGGCAGGCCGAGGGAGTGGCCGAGAGCAACGAAGATAAACGTCCGAGAGTCAGTTGAGAGAGAGTGATAGTGAGAGGTGATAGGTGATATACGCATGTATAGACTTGTTGAAAGACTTGGCAGACGCTAACAATTAACACTAACAATTCGTAGTCCTTTTTATAATTTAATTTACTTCATACTTCTATAGAATTTAATTTAACATATTTTTTAACTTAAATTTTCTCTAAATTAAGCTATCTTTAATTAACAACAGTTGTTTATGCTTTAGTGTAACCAACTGTTGTTGTTTCTCTTTAAAAACATAAATAAAATAATTAACGATAAACAGAGAATTTTTTCTCGGGCTCTGAAGTCATTAAACTAAATGAATAATAAATATATACTAGGTCATAAGAGCCGTTCGCAGGATGTTTTGCGGAAATTATA